ACAGACAAACCCTGTGCACCACAGACATGGAACAAGCTGCCAGATGAAAGCACATTTCAATCCAGGTTAGAAATCGTTCATGTTCAAAAACTGCACCTTTAATACTCATCCAAGCCTGTGTCTTCATTTTATTACTCCTGTACTCAAATCTCTGTTCTTACCTCTTTCATTCTCTTTGCATTCTAATGTCGTCTGCTGTTTTTAATCTCTTTTTTAATGTAGTTAACAGATGATGTCAAAACTCATTGAATTGCCTTTGTGTTTGAAATGTGCACGACACAAAGACTTGTTTTGCCTCGACTTGATGAATAAATGTCTAAAAGCCAGTTTCTCAGTCCACGAGATGTGGACATGAGTCATGTTTTGGCAGTGCCGCTGCTCCGTCACATCACTTTGGATACGCTGCCCGCTGGCAAAGTTTCAGAAGAAGTGCGTCTTCAAGCAGCCGGTCTTTCGGCAACCCGATTTTGTGTTGCTTTGTTCATTTGTTGTCGTTTCTCCTTTTTTTTTTCCAGGGATTTTGATTGTGCTTTGTCTGAACTCTGAGTTTCTTTCTTTCTTTCAATTTGTCATTCTCCTGCTTCCTCAACTCTGCATTATGAACAATATTTTACCAAGAACAGAGAGCTTACAGAAAAATGGCTGTAAAACAAGTAAAGATAACAATTCACTGCAACAATCACCACTGTTTTTGTATTTTATTTTCATCTCATCATCTTATTTGTAATGCACCGATAAAAGAAAAAATGCACAGTTTGGTATACAGAAGACATAATAATATGTTTAAATATCTGTAAATTACGTATACATTCATTATTGATTGCAGCCAGAACTGGCCTAAATGCTCTGTGAAAAAAAAATGACGTGTGTAAATAATGAATTCATAACAAGCTGATTTTGCAGCAGTTGAATAAAAACTCAGAAGCATTCAAACCACGGATGTAATACACATCTACCAAGCCCCAATAAAAAATCTGTCTGCATTTATCTGTCCATGAAATATGAACGATGTCGAATGGAATGCCCTTTTCCAACAGTCAGATAAAGGTTTATTGAACGCTGGAGTGAGCATAGAGGTTGCCATGGCTACAAGTGTGAAAAGGGCATCTGATCTGACTTCTGACCAGTCAATTAATTTTGGAATTGCATTTTTTTTCCCCTTTTTAATCAAAGGTTCATTCATGATTCAAAATCAACTGCGGCGAATAAAAAAGAAGAAAGAGCAGAGATTGCAACGACTTTGGAGAAGTACAGTAATTCTAGAGTCTTAAGATTAAGACCGCCACAAGGGAAGAAGGATGAATATTTAAGACAGATTAAACTCAAGAATATTAGTTTGGTCTCAGTGTGGACTGATAGAAATAATAAATAATAGCTCAACAAAACAGCACAGAAAGACTTTTACTTTCATAGTTTTACAGATGAATTCATGTAAGGTTGGGTTGTGTTGCAATACCACTAAGAGGTCTCAAAAATCCATTACGTGAAATTGCTTCTTCAAATATTTGTTGCGCTTATTATTTGGGGTTCTATATTTAGCCTTATTGAAAATGCTAATGACAGGGATAAGAATAGTGGGTGGAATTCTTCAGCACTATGTCTAAAGGAATAAATGGGCTCTTATGGGCTCTCATCGTTCCCAAGGGAACATTCACACACAAACACACTTACAGTAAGTAAGAACAGGACTTCTTTAATTGACATGAGGAGTTCCAGCAGGATAAAATATGTCGGCAATGTACTGTACCAAATGGCTGAAATGTTGCCTTAATTAAGCTGCAGGTGAATACAAACAATTCCTACAAAGGATTAACTAGAAAACACTTTAAAATTATAAGCGTCTGCTGCAAAAAATTCAATGACATTCCAGTAAATACAAAAATATATCTTAATTTAAATTGCTTTAACTGAAGGATTCATATAGAACCAAGGTCTTCTACTGTGCTGTCATAGGAACACGTTTTGCGCTGCCGCTCCTCACTGTCCTTGTAGCATCAGCAGCAGCTCATCCTCACACCTCCCTCCCTCCTCTGTGCTGCCTATATCCTCGCGTTGAAAAAAAGGCAGGAGGTGGTTTGATTATAACTCTCCAATTGCAGCTAATTAGGATAGGTCAGCTGCTACAGTGGAACAGTATCCGTCCCACCACGCTCGTCCTCCTTCTCCTCCACCATCCCTCTCTCTCTATTTCCTTGGACAGCCCTATCAGCGGGTACCATCTCCCTACGCCACTGCCGCCTGTCTGTTAGTGATTGTGACCGTGGCAGTTGTCTCCACAGAGGCGAGCGACGTGCTGCCAGCCACTCCGACGGAGCCAGACAAGCCTATCAGCGTCTACGGTGGGCTCGTTGGAGCATCAATTAATCGCTGTTTAAAACTGGCAAAAAAAAAAATGCATTTGATATACTTGAGCTTAATTAATACATTGCAACCAATTTTGCAGGCCTAATTAATCAATTTGTAACTGGTCCCTGGTGCGAAGATTTCCAGATTATGTTGTCTGGAAGGAAGCTGTACTGAACATCAGAGGAGAAGATGAATTACAGGCATGGAAATGGGGGAGTTGTGTGTTTGTTCTACCAATGCCTATTACCAGAGGAGCGCATTAAGAGTGAACATGAGGGGAAAGAAGTATAGAAGGGTGGGAAAAAAGGGGCGACAAATTCAGAAACAAAAAAAGTGTGAATGCCTGACAACCTGGTGACAATAAAGGCTAAGAGCTGACGATTGATTAGGACTTGAACTACAAGTCCTAATCAATACAACTGCTTTTGTGCACTTGTAGATCTGTTTATACGGAGCCAGTGAATGAGGCCGCAGTGTCCTGGCAAGCAAGCAGAGAGAGCTACAGAGAGTAATTGGGAAGGCTCGGAGAGGAGGAGAGGAACAGAGGACTTGAGATGGGATGAAGGAGGGAGGTTGGGGGTGGGTGGTGGAGGGAGACCTATGAAGTAGACACTAAGTGCTGAGATGTGAAGAAAATAAGCCGGCAGGAAAATGACCCCAGGGAACGGTGACCAACGACAAGCTCCCTTTTTCCTTTTTTTTTTCCATTTGATAATAGACCTACTGTACCTGTGTGGTTCTGTGTGTCCCCCTTCACGAGTGTGCACGCAGGGAGACTCAGGAAGCAAAATCTAACTGTAATTTCCATAACAGCTCAATTTTGCGCATGCACCCCTTTCGTTTTCACTGAGCCTGATTAATTTGCCATCAAATTACTACAATATATCACCTGTACGTGAAGGGGTTGGCTTGAGACACGGCAGCAGATGGGACTCCTCTCTTCCTGAGCTCGCCAGGTACAAGGTGACCATCCTGGTGATTCATCTTCAACAGCAGGAGGACGTAAAATGTAAAAGCGCACCTCTCTGAGCCGGGGACATTGTGCTTTGAGAGTTATCTAATGTAAATATTAACTCAAAGCCAGCCGTGATTTGTCACTTTGGAGAGTTCAGCTGGTGTCTTTGCAAATTAATAAAGATGCACTGGAAAGCTGCCAGAGTGATGTTTACCACGCCTCACTCCTCATCACCGATCTCGCACCACGCCTTGGCCTCCCGCCCTCCCCCCTTACAGTTTAGCAAGGCCCGCATGTTATTGTCTAAACACAGCCAGCTGCAGACGGTTAACTGTCTAATCTCACATCCATCGATTTCCCCAAACAAGGATAGGAGGAGTGGAACGAAAGTCATGGAGCGGTGGGGGTGGAAGCGCAGCAGAGGGTGAGAACAAAATGGGAAGAGCTGAGCGGGAAACGGGCACAGGCGGGTTACGGCCTTGCGATGACTGTCTGCCACCACTGGACACAAGCGCGTGTGTTTGTGTACAGGTGCGACGATGTCCTTGTTTGAGACCGTCAACAGGAAATTGATCGAAGTACAGTGCTTGTTGTCTGCTACAGCTCAAACCCACTTTAAGCTCCCTTTGTCATGTGTTTTGTCTGTATAGATTATTTCAGTCCCTCATGGACAATTAAATGAGAACATTTTCAAAATGAGAAACATATGGAGTTTTTTAATTGGCCAATTTTTCTTGCCAACGTGTGGGGGGGTTTTTATACTATAAACCAGTGAAAAGGAAAAAAATGCTATCTAGTCAGACGTGCATATTGGAGCACAGAGCGTTGCACAAATTGTCATTGTCCTTCCACAAGGAGTAAAACAGCCCTTCTGTTGTCTGGATTAATGGCGTCATTACAAAGAATCCATGTTCGGTATACAGCGCCATACTTCTGGATGCAGTCAGTGAGATACATACATCTCGGTGTAGTGAATTTGTATTTCTTTGGGAATATCTGTGTGGTAATGGCCCACACCAGTGAGAAATTCACCAAACCTCCTGTCCCATTACTTCTCTTCCTACTGTACAGTGCAATCTTGGCTTTTCTCGCCTCCTCTGACCTCGCACTAATCATGAGAGGTGGCTGGGGTAAGGAGGACTGCAACAACTCATATCTGGGGAGTTATTGTTCAACACATGTCATGTGTAATCTGCCCGACCCACAGCGCTTAGAATAATTATTCATATTTAATCACCACACTACGAAGCTACATCGCCTGCCGCTCACTAAGTCATTTTCCATGTTCCATTATCAAAGTTTCAGAGACGGGTGCTCAGGGAAGGGGGACTAAATGGAGAGGCTGAAGTAGTTGGGCTTATAAAAACATAATGGGCTTGTCTGCTTTGATAAACTGAGGACGTGTGTAGAATGCACTCACACTCACACTCACACCCACACCCACACCCACACACAGACAGACACACACAGACACACATTAAATGAGAAAAGTCTAGAGAACAAAGTATGGAGCGAATAAAGTAGCCAAGAATAAGTTGAGATTGTGATTGTGAGCGTTCAGGCAAGTCAAGAGCCCAATCGTTAATACAAATAACTTCAGCACAGAAAACGGATTGATAGCCATTTGATTTAAGTGTTTTCGGCCAGCACTGCATCTTTCACTTCTCGTGCAGTCACACGTTTTCCAATGAGGGCTCACCTTGCTCCAAAGGCGGCGGTTTCACGCCTGTAGCCTTCAACTTGAGGGCTTCTTTTGCAGACATGTCACAGCAGGAGCCCTTATTGGTGTCCTGGTCGCTGTCAGCCTGGTCGCTGTCACCATGGCCACTGTCTCTGAGGCTTGCTCGCTCTGGGTCTTTGAATGTTGAACTACTAGAGAAATTCACAAAAGAATGAAAGTGGCATTAGGACAAGGTCTTACTGCTTTTTTATTTTTATTTTTAAAGAGAGGGAAAAAAAGAGGTCGCTGTGTGAAAATATTTTATGTGATATAGCAAATACTGTGAGTGACCACTTTTAAACCTAATTAAATGTGCATGCCCTTCTTCTTCCTGTCACGACTCAGTACAATTATTTGTCAGATGAGTAAACATTGGTTTATTGTGTTGGGACTGTTGGAGAAAAGAAAAGGTCTGAGATGTGATGACGGTTACAAATCCGAACTCTTACCTTTGAACAAACTGTTGTCTGCTACCCATATAATTAGGCTCAGTGGGGAAATTGTCCGTCTGTGGAGAGGAGAGAGAAAAAAGGATGTAGTGTGGCTCTACAGAAATGAATCCTGCTGTGAAACAAGATCTTGTGACATATGATTAATTGTGGAGAAAAAATATAGAAAATACTAGTGGCTAAACATATAAAACAGACCAATTAGCCATTTTAGACATCATATATTCAATGACTACCAGTGTCAACTTAACATCTAGTGACCTAAATTACGGCATAAAGATGCACAGAGATTAAAATTAAGTTTGTCGCTTCCAATCTGTTCTGTTTTCTATCATCACATGCAGGGAGAAATTGTTTGTGTAGAACTGGGGCGTATGTGTGCTCAACTGTGTGGGGTCTGTTTGCATTGGGGTTACATGATCATATACACACACATGCTTGTGCACACATGTCCACACACAGAAGACACGCTAAGACACAGTGTGGCACGTATGACAAATACCGCAGAAGAACAGAAAACTGGTACAAACCCCATTCTTCATAAACTGTATAAACACTCCACAATCCTCAGCACTGTGCTGTGCAGCAGTGCATTACAGACTGGATCAATCACATTGGCACTGGAAAGAGCCGGACACGTCTCTCTCCCAGTCTGTCTCCCTCTCGTTAATTATAGCAAAGAACAGTATATGAGGGTTTTTAAATCATCTCCATTGAGATAAGGGGCCACAAAGATCCCAGTGTGCTTCCTGGCTTTTATAGAAATGCTCGTTAACCTCAGCAATAATGAAAACAACTAATGTTAAAACAATTAATTGCATACACTCCCCCCAGTAACGCTGGACTTTTGCGTATGCGCTCGATGCTTCAACCAAAACGCTGTTCGCTCACTTTGAATGGGGTGACGTCACGCTTTGCAGAACTGTGTTGTGCGTTGCTCGTGCAGTGACACTGTGCTGCATTGGCGGCACCAGCCAATCAAATCGTTCTCAAAGAAACACTCAAGCACAGGTGCTAGCCAATCAAATCATGATAATGTGAAAGAGGAGGCAGATGGCGAACCTGGTATGGGTTCATATTGTTGTGAGTTTTTTTCCCTTTAGCATGTTAGCAGGAAAGCCAGCTATGAAGGCTGTCGTCATGCCGATTGTGCCAGCATCAAACGTCGGGCACGCCCATTATCAAGTGTCAAAGCAAAGCATACGTGTGATTCTAGTATAATGAATCTAGTGGATGAATAAAGTACTTAATTTCCCTCCGGGGATGAATAAAGTACTCTATCTATCTATCTATCTAATTCATGAAGAACACAGGCAGACAGAAAATAATGAATTTGCAGGAACAGCTAAAAGTCCCAGGTACATAGAAGCATAGAGGGTGGAAACAAAGGCCTCAGGAGAAATAGCTTTCATATTGTGTTAGTGGTATTCATCACAGTACCACAAATAATTTCCCTATGTAGTGCACAGCTCTCTGTCTTAAAATCGAGAGCAGTAAAATGTCATGTTCGGTGAGTAATGCTTGCTTGTGCTGGGGTATTTCACATCCACAGCTTGACTCACAGTCAATACAGTATTTCAATGTCATCCGTGCTCTGCGGTGGCTCCGTATGAAAACGGCTGTGTGAAGGTCAGAGAGGCCACCTCGGTACTTTGACGTTCCATGTTTTTGCCAGCAAATTTTTCTCTACTTAAACATTCTATTCCACCTCAGCCTTCACGAAGCTTCGAAAGAAAACACCCACAGAATATTGTACATCAATGGTCGGTAGAGTAAGAGTAGCAGAACATGTTTGAGATCGTTTGGCATTAAAATGATAACTAGTTTTTCGAAAGATAAAATGAAGGGGGGGATGTAAGTCTTTATATTGATGTACCCCGTCAGTACTTTTACGGACATCTTTCTATCACCACAGCTGTGTAAGTGCCTGAATCTGATCTCCCCACTGCAGAGTTTACCATTGTTTTAATAAATTAAAAATGGGCCTTTGTTTGTGAGTTAATTTCAAATAAACCACTGAATCCCATATTTGTGACTTGA